GTTCAAGGAACTGTCACCTCACAGGTGTACACAACTGCCAGAACTCACCGAATTGTATGCTTGTATCCACGCACTCTACCGTCATGATGCTTCAGCTCTCCAGGTTGGGCAACAGAGTAAAACTATATCTCAAAAAATAAATAAATAAGCAAATATAAATTAAATATAAATTTAAAAAATTAATTTTCTGTTTAATTAATAGTATATTGAGTATGAGACCATATTTGCTTTCTTAAAGAGCCTCCAGGCACAGTGTTTTACGCCCAGTAATCCCAGAACTCGGGGAGGCCAAAGTAGGAATATCACCTGAGGCCAGGAGTTTAAGAGCAGCCTCAGCCTGAACCTTGTCTCTTTTAAAAAGTTGTTTTTTTTTTTTTTTGAGACAGAGCCTTAAACTGTCTCTCTGGGTAGAGTGCTGTGGAGTCACAGCTCACAGCAATCTCCAACTCCTGAGCTTACGTGATTTTCTTGTTTCAGCCTCCCAAGTAGCTGTCGTTGTTTGGCAAGGCTGGGCTGGATTCAAATCCACCAACTCTGTTATACGTGGCTGGCACCTTAGCTGCTTGAGCTACAGGCACTGAGCCCTAAAAATGTTTTTTAAAGTTACCTGTCTGGGTGTGGTGGTATGTATCTATATAGTCCTAACTATCTGGGAAGCTCACACCTCTGCTCCAGGAACCTCCAAGTATTCAGCTACCTCAAAGCTCACTAAGGATCACTTAAGCCCATGAATTTGAGGCTACAGTGAGCTAAGATCACACCACTGCACTACAGCCTGGGTGGCAAAGTGAGACACTGTCTCTCAAAAAAAAAGAAAAATACAGACTATAATATATATACTACAGGAATAAGAACTAAATAGCATCAGTTGCTTCTAGAAAGTGTGCACAAAAGACAGAATAAAGAAAACCCTTTTGCACTATAAACTATGTATGTGAATGTATCACTTATTCAAAAAGTTAAATCAGGCAGGCATTGTGGCAGGCACAAGTAGTCCCAGGTGCTCAGAAGGCTTAGTCAAGAGGATCTCTTAAACCTAACAATTTGAAGTTGCTGTGAGCTATAATGATGCCATGCTTTCTATCCAGGTAAGTGAAACTGTTTCTAAAAAAAAAAAAGGAAAGGAAAGGAAAGGAAAAAATAAACATTCTTTAATCCTACAAATAAATATACAATTTAAATTTATTTTGAAATTTTGGTATATGCAGATTTCAATGATTTGAAGTTTTATTTTAGACTCTGGTTTTGAGATGATCCCACAGTGAACTAATTATCCAAGAACCACTACATAGAAAAGTTATCAAGAAATGTTGGAAAGGGAGAAAAGTAAAGGACTTTAATTTTGAGGGAAAGGGGTAAGAAAATATTTAAGTTAAAAAGAGAAGCATGGGGTCTTTTTGGTGCTTATGTAGACCATGTATCTTTTAATTTCTCATTATCTGCTCTTAG